ATGCATGCATGCATGCATGCATGCATGCATGCATGCACGCATGCATGCGTCTAAAGGGGGGATATATTGAGCACACATGCTTGCATGCATGCGTGCCCAAGCCCCATTCCGGTGCATGCATACATGCATGCATGCATACATGCATGCATGCATACATGCATGCATGCATGCATGCATGCATGCATGCATGCATGCACAGACACCGCAGTATATTTGAAGAGCACTGTTGGGGCTTTCAGCGGCCAACACAGCTATAGACAAATACACACAAAAACACACAAACATAGAAATGTTATAAATGTATAAAAATATATAAATATATAATTTATATATTATATAAATTATATGTTTATATATTTATATATATAAATATATAAACAGACTGATACGGAAATACACGAATATACACAAACTCAACGCTGCATGTATTGCATGTGTTGGCTAGCAGAAAGTATGCAGAAAAAAAAATAAGAAAAAATAAAAAAAAACTAAAAAAAAATAAATATAAAAGAAAGAAGATAGCGCGAAATATTCAGGTGTATAGGCAGCTCGCGTGAGGCGGTTGGTGTGTGTGGCTGGGTTTGTGCATAAAGCAACAAATTTATGATTAATTTCGAAAAAAAACAAAAAAAATAAATAAATTAAATAATATTTCATCAATAAATTTAATTTATTTAAAAAAAAAATAATTTTTATCGTCAGGTTTCCACCTGCATCACCACCACCGGCCTTCTACGCCATGCGAGCACAACAGAGAGAAATATGTGTGCATCTTTTGTTTTTTTTTATGTTTTATTTTCAAAAAAAAATATAATTCATGATTTAAAAATACATATTTTATATTTTTTTATATTTTTTTTTCTTTTTTTTTCTTTTTTTATACAGCTTTCTCACCTTTTGCAAGTCGACAAGCCAGGCGCATGCATGCACGGCGAGCTGCTAGCAGCCCGCTGCTGCTGGGTTTTTTTTTCGTGTGAATTTCTGAATTATAATAAACAAAGAAGTTTTGTAAATATATTTTACAAGAAAATACAAAAAAAAAGAACTTTTACAGCTCTTGAGGTGTATAGACACCGCAGCAACCGCGGCGGCAGCTGCTGCAGTGCTGCTGCAAAAATTATTTTATTTTTTTGTGTTTTTCGTGTTTTCTCTTTTCTTATTAAATACTTTTTCTCAATACTGCAGCAGAAGATAAAGATTCTATTTTCTTATGTATTTGTTGCAGCAGCAGCAGCAGCAGCAGCAGCAGCAGCA